TATATATATGTATATGTATATGTAGTATCCTTTAAGGTAACCCGTGCCCAAGGTGGCCTTGCTGATCTTTTCACCTGTTTCCTACGCCGTGCCAGAGCTGATTCCGGCCATTTCGCAGCAGCTGACGCCCCGCTGTCTTGGAGTTTAGGGCCTAGGGTGTTGGGTTTAAGGTGAGAGAAACTACTCCACCAAGAAAACGAAATTAGAACAACAGGGGGGTCCGAAGCAAAAAGAAGGACACGGACAAGAAAGCCAAAAGATTCACATGTACGTTGTTATCATGATGCTGGGAGGTCGTAATTTCGACGGTGATGTTGTTTGTGCTGACTGATGGCGAGGATAATGTCGATAGTAGCAACGATGCTCGTCACAACCACACACTGCTGCCTGCATCAGTATTTCCTCACACATCACCATCACCGTCATCACCAGCACCACAACCACCATCATCACGCGGTCACACAGACTCAAGGAAAAGCTTGGTCGACGAGCTCTCGCCCAAGCAGCTGGCACGTGTTCTCCGAGGTCTGAATGCTTGCCACTCGGCTGTTTCAGATAATCATGAACTGCCAAACATGAAAATCAGCCACATGCCGCTCCCCCCCTGCCCCCGGCTCTAAACGCAGCTGAGCTCATTGGCATGCAATCCTTGCGGAGGTATTCTCAGACCCTGCAGGCCTCACCTAAGCTTCAGCACATACTCCCTGAACCCACTCTGAGGCAACGTGGCGGATGCTCCGCTCTTCGAGGTTCCACGGAATTCCGTCGAACACGCTGGGCTTGCGCAGACAGCTTTTAATGTAGTACCAGTACTATAGGGCAGGAAAGCTTTTGCCCTGTTGGTAACAAGTTTCGGCCTGCTGCTCTCTAATATAGAGGCTTCAAAAACGCTTCAACAAATACCCAATACTATTTCTTGGGGTTCCTTATATATTTTGGTTGGCTGTACGAAAAGGATCCCAAGATCTTATTCGGAGTTATTCGGCCCTGTACGGTACAGTACTTATGCTCTGCAAATGTGTTCCAGAACTCTCTTCTGCTGCATGGATCCAACAGGCACTCAGAAGGCGCGCGTCGCAGCTGAGCCACGTCTTCTTTGGGACACACGCTCCTGTGCTTGCAGTTGTGGAGGTCGGAAGACGGTAGATCTTCAACGAAACAGCAACGATCGCCCAAGTCTGGAAGCCATTTGCAGGAAGGTCCGGATACATCTCTGGTAGCACGTTTCAGCTGCGGAGCTCAAGAGCTCGAAGGGATGCTTTCCCCTAAGGGTCCATGTACCCAAATAGTATATACTTTGGCTTCAATGTAGTCCCTATATAGGTACTTTGGGGCCCAAGTACATACTATTTGGGCACATGGACCCTTAGGGTTCGGTCCATGACTGTGTTGTCTCCAAGGCCGTCTCGGCACTCGTGGCATTCGCGGAAGCCGAGCAGGTTGACGTCGGCACAGTCCGAACGCTAGGCGACCCTGGGCAGCAGAGTTCTCAGACTGGTTCCCTTCCTTGTCCTTTTTTTCCCTTCTGAGACCCCCATGCCCTATGCATCCCTGAGCCCTTGATCTTGTAGAGATCTTCGACCCTGATATGTTTCCCGACTCCTTCGGCCCCAGACCTAGGAGACCATCTTGAGACATCTTGACCGTCTCTCAGCGCAGGAGCCTGGAAGGGAACTGCTCTGAAGTCGCACCTGGACAGAAGTGACATGAATATGAAAGTAGCTGCCATGGCGCACAAGGCAGAAAGTAAGGGCAACGTTGAGCACAAGACGCGTAGATGCACATGCCATGCTGGCAGCAGTGGGGGCGGTGGCGGTGGCGGCGGTGCTCGTGGTCATGGTCATGGTAGGGGTAGTGGTGGTAGCAGCAGTAGCAGTAGCAGTAGCAGTAGCAGTAGCAGTAGCAGTAGTTGTAGAAGTAGCAGTAGCAGTAGCAGTAGCAGTAGCAGTAGCAGTAGCAGTAGCA